CCCCCCCCATCCCAGCCCCTCCTGTGCATTAAAAACAAACGAACCAGTGCATTAAAAAAACCACCCCTATTACCCTCCAGCACCCACCCCAGTCCCCTGAGAGGTCTCCCATGGGTGCAGAAGTGCTGCCCCAACAAGGATAAATGGCAAGTGGAAAAAGGAGAGTCCTAAATACAAACACTTTCTAACGACAAGTGGGGGGGCTGTGCCCCACTGCCCTGAGACCCCTGCAGCTCTGCCCACCCCCCAGCTTCCTAGGGGGTGCAGGACCTGCTGGGGGTTCATCCACTGACCTGGGGGTGGCTGATAAAATACCAGCTAAACTATTTCCCCATCCCACCTCACGCCTGCAACACTTTCTATTCCCAGAGCCACTTCCAAATCGACGCTGGGAGCTGCTAAACAAGTCAGAAGAAGATCCTCCCCTCTCCCGGAAGACAATTCCTGGCTGCCAAGACCCGGTGGGGCAGGTGGGCCACCCGGTGGCTTTAGTCGGAGTCGCTGTAGTCGGTGAAGAGCAACCTGTGGCCGAAGTGTGACCCCATCAGCTCAAAATCGGCTTCGAGCATGTAGAGCTCATCCTCGTCACCCTCGTCAGAGCTCTCCACCAGGGAAAGGCTGAATTCCTGCAGCACAGGAGAGAGAGGATGAACCCCGGCTTCCTCGGGGCTGCCATGTCCCAGCCCCCTCCCCAGGACCCCCCACTTACCAGGGGCACCCTGGGCGGGCGCCGGCGCCGGCGCGGCAAGGGGCCGGGGGGCAGCTCGTGCAGGTAGATGCAGTCGGACTTGAAGGGGCAGCGCCCGCGGTTCCGGACAAAGAACTTGCACCTGATTTTCCTGTGGGATTGATAGTGGAGCTGTGAACATGGCTCCTGGAGCAGCAGAGAGAACCATGGCTCTGCATCCCACCGTGGCACACACTTACCCTGTCCGTGCCTTGAAGGATTTGATGAGCTTCTCCTTCTCAGCCGCATCTGAGACCCAGTACTTGTGGGGGATGTAGTAACTGGAGGTGACCCGGCACTCTGGACAGGCCCTGGGTGAAGGCAACGGGTGAGTGTCCCAGAAATGGAGCACAGAGCACGGGCTCAGCACCCACACCAGGTGGTCCCACCACCACGGCCTCACTCAGCATCCCCATCACAGCTCCAAAGCACCCGTTCCTGAAGGAAAGTCACTCCTATCCCAAAACCACATCCACCCCAGACCCAAGGAGTGCCCTTCAGGGTGCAGAAGGGCTGAGGGTGACCACCCTGCCCCATCCCCATCCCCACTCACTTGATGATCTCGTTCTCAAACTCGCGGCTGCGGCGCCACTGGCGGATGCAGCCCACGCAGTAGGCATGGCTGCAGTTGGGCAGGATCCCAAACAGCCTCTCCTCTGGCAGCCTTTTCTCATACACCCTGTCCATGCAGATGCCACACACCACAGCACTACTCCGGGCCCTCAGCACCTCAGTGGGGACCGGGTCTGCTGCAGCACCCAGCTCCTCAGGGACCTGCAAGCAGAGCAGCATTGGCATTCCAACTCCCAGCTCCCACCATTGTCCCCACCTGGGGGATTTGATGCAGGAGACCCCCAAACTCACCTCTGCAGGCTCAGTCCACATCATCGTCTCCCCCGTCGCCCCTATGGGCTCTGCAGAACTTGGATTTGGTCCCGGCCTTCCTGGTTGGATGTCTGCAGGTAGGAGAGATCTTAGGAGGGGAAAACTCCTACCCTGCTGGCTGCTCGGAGTTAGGGTCCCCACCCTGAAAAAGGCTTCTAGAAGAGCTTTGCACAACTCCAGCTGGGAGGAGGGAAACGGAGGGAGGGTGATTGGAGTCCAGGGCAGACACATTATCATAATTTAGTCAGTTGTTCTGCCACTCAGTGACCCTGCCCATCTGAGAAGGGGAACTGGGACAAGGAGAAGGGACCCGTGAGTTGAAATGGAAAGAGAATTACTAAAATAATAATAAGACCTCCCTAATATTAATACTAATAGAAAATACACAGTTATACTCAACCCCTCTAGTGGTAATGGGCTGTATGCTCCCAGCAGCGAAGACCAGATGTAACACCGTGAGCACCACAGCTCCAGGGAGAGCATGACAATCATCACAAACCCCTGAGCAGGCCTCGGAAGCAGAAAGATGGGCAAGACCCTCCAGAGATGGTGATCACTGAGGAAAACAGACCCTTCCCCAGCAAACCTCCCAGTTTATAGTAAGTGTGGCGTTTATGGCATGGAATATTTCTGTTGGCCAGCGTGGGTCAGCTGCCCTGGATTTTGCTACTCTGAACTTTAGCACCTTACCAAGTAGTTCTGCAGACTGGCCAGACTGTTCTTCCACAGGTGAGACTCCGGTCCGTTCGGAGGAAGAGAGACTGTTTGCATATTCCAGCAACAAAGTCTCCAAGTAACTCACTGTTGGTGTTTCGTCTTCCCAGAAAAATACAGCCACTCTGTTGGCGTGCAAGGGTGGCCCACTCCTTAACCAGCTGTGCCACATGTATTCAGTAACTTTCAGTGCATTTGGGCTCAGTGGTGCCAGCGGGTTCTCCAGGTCAGAAAACACCAGTCCCCTCACAGCCATGAGCCTCAGATTCCTAATGCCTCCCTCAATGTTTCTCCACTTGCCTGTCTGGTACACCTCATGGCCAATATATGGAAACCTCTTTCTCATGACTAACAGGAGTCTTTTCCAGAGAGTGAGGGGCTGTGGGTCTTTCCCAAGAGACCTGTCAAACAGCAAGTCTCTAGCCAGTGGTAACAACCTCTGGACTTCTCTGCTGGTCAAGTTCAAATCATTGGCTCCGTTATCCCAGCATCGGAGCAGCCAACTGATGTGCTGCTCCCCTTCAAAACGGCCAAAATCTTCACGTATGTCTTCCAGCTCCCTTGGGAGTAAACAGTGAGTGGTCACCTTTGGTTCCTCCTCCTCTGATGGCCTTTGTGGACCTTCATGATCTGTGCGTCTCCTCTTCGGGGTGACGGACACCGGCACCGACTCAGCCCTGCCATCCGTCCCCGGGGTCGTTGCAGGGCCTTCTGCCAAGGTCTGGGTACTCGTGGTGGATGTTGTTGGGACTTGAGTACTTGCAGAAGTCCGAGTGGCCACTGGGGTAGCCAGGGTGGCTGTGGTGGCCGTGGTGGCCACAGGGTCCACTGCAGGGGCTGCAGCATCTGCACTGGACCCACCTCGACAACGACTCTTCACTGCAAGCAAGACCAAGACATTGAAAAGGCCTGACAAGGTGACCAGAGTTAAGGAAACATCCCACGGGTAGTGAAAAAGCCCCGAAGCGAAAATAACACCCCAGGGAGAAGCCGAGTCCCAGGGAAGCAACCTCCTGGCAGCCCAACTCTCGGAACCAAAGGTGCAATTATTAAAGAGCTCCAGGAGATGCCGCCGGAAGGACAGGAACGACGGCCCCGCGGGGCTCGGCGGCCCCTCGGCCACCAGCACGTAGTGATCGTAGACGACGGCGAGAGCCAGGGAGTTGAGGGCGAGAGGAGCCGCCCCCAGGCAGCAGAGCAGCGCGGCCCC